AAGTCTGAAGAGGGGCCAAGCCCAATTTAAGAAAATGACTGGGAAAGAAAACCAGTGGCATGGGAAATTAGTCCTGTTACAACCCCCCCACTCCACCACCACCACCACCATGGGTATGATCCATTGTTTTGTTTGGCCTGCCACATTGTGTTAGATGTAATAGATGGAAGGTGATATTTGAGAACATTCACATAAAGCAAAGAAATTACCAGAGGCAAAAAAGATTAAATTCTTAAAACTGCCATTTGCATAGTTGATTACTTCCATGCAAAAGATGTGCTGTCAGTAACCGTGCTTGATTTGTAAGATGTTGAAAATTACCCAGTAGATGAAAAACAAACTTAATTTTACAATATATACAATATATCTAATTTGCTAGTTGCCTTTCTATGCCTTTTGACGTATGATTGACTAATGCTTGTGTTTTTTAACTTCAGTACTGAGCCTAGAGTGTTTTGAGAGATGCAAATGGAAACACCAAAATAAATTATATATCTTGCAAAATCACAATTTCAGTTGAAATAATGGAAGAATTCTCATGCTTAAATATAGCAATTCTTGTTTTATAATACGTTTTGCTTTAAGGTACTTCACATTCATGCATATGTTTTAAAAAAGAAACATTAAAACATCAAAGATACAAATTTTGTGGTTTTTTGGAATTCCTAAAGAGTTGCTGATACATCAGAAATCTTAGAAAAACGTTGTTTATCTACTTACAGGAAATTTTGCATCAGAATGATATATTTTTTCTGTTTCACTTTCATCTGAGGCCTATTAAAAAGGTTCTTAGTGGGAAATGGGGATTTTTAACCTAATGCAGGAGCTTGTGCCTATAGCTTCCCAGCCATATAAACTTCAGAGGTGAAGTCCTGACTCCATCAGAGTCAGTGGCAAAACTCCCACTGCTTTCAATGTGGCCAGGATTTCACCCCAGAAGCCTGTAGATGCAGGTTCCATTGAACTTTGATTACCAGTCTCTCCTATTCAGGAGGAGGTGCGGTCATATGAATGAGCACTCTGTTTCCCATACTACAGGATTTCCATATTGAATCTTTGTGTTTGGTCTGTCTTTTTTCTCTAGTTGGGACCATACAACCTGCTGGAATGACTAATAGAGTTATAAATCTGGAACCACCCCCTGTTGTGGTTTCAAGTGAGGACCTGTACAGCTCCATGCTAAAAAAGAGAGTATGCCCTCCTAGGTGTAGTGGAGCGCTCACAAAGAACTCTGGGATCTCTCTACATCACTGGAGTGTCCTGATGGGTCTTATCCTTCCTCATTGCAATCTACAGTGACCTTTTCAAACCACCAGCTGCAGTCTTGCTGTCACTATGTCATTATGGTCTCATCCGCCACGCCAGGGTGTTTGGACAGAAACAGTCTGGCGAGAGGAATGGATCTCTGTTATGATCCCCAACCAGTCTATTGTCACTGACCACACAATTTGCCCTCCTGGTTTTGACCTGCCCCATCATCAGTGGTCCCTGTTGAACAGGTTCCGGACCAGGCAAGGTCTCTGTGCAGCTAACCATTATTGCTGGAGCTTTTGTGATAGCCCTTTGTGCAGCTCCTATGCAACACAGATGATGACACACATTGTCGATGAATGCCTGCTGTCAAGGTTCCTTCCCCATTCTGAACTCTAGGGTACAGATGTGGGGACCTGCATGAAAACCCCCCTCAGCTTATTTTTACCAGCTTAGGTTAAAACTTCCCCAAGGTACAAACTATTTTAACTTTTGCCCCTGGACTTTATTGCTGCCACCACCAAGCGTCTAACAAATATATAACAGGGAAAGAGCCCACTTGGAAACATCTTTCCCCCCAAAATCCTCCCAAACCCTACACGCCCTTTCCTGGGGAAGGCTTGATAAAAATCCTCACCAATTTGCATAGGTGAACACAGACCCAAGCCCTTGGAACTTAAGAACAATGAAAAAGCAATCAGGTTCTTAAAAGAAGAATTTTAATAGAAGAAAAAGTAAAAGAATCACCTCTGTAAAATCAGGATGGTAAATACCTTACAGGGTAATCAGATTCAAAACACAGAGAATCCCTCTAGGCAAAACCTTAAGTTACAAAAAGCCACAAAAACAGGAATATCCATTCCATTCAGCACAACTTATTTTATCAGCCATTTAAACAAAACAGAATCTAATGCATATCTAACTAGATTGCTTATTAGCCCTTTTTGCTTTTCTGACCTGCATTCCTGCTCTGGTCCCGGCAAAGAAAAAAGACACAGACAGAGAGAATCCTTTGTTACCCCCCCACTCCAGCTTTGAAAGTATCTTGTCTCCTCATTGGTCATTTTGGTCGGTGCCAGCAAGGTTATCTTTAGTTTCTTAACCCTTTACAGGTGAAAGGGTTTTTTCCTCTGGCCAGGAGGGATTTAAAGGTGGTTAGCCTTCCCTTTATATTTATGACACCTGCTGACTAGGTTCAGCGGTGGCCTAGAAGAACTGCATCATGCCAGTGAAAATGCCATTGCTTGGCTAGATGACTATGCACATGCTAAATAATAAATTGCAATATTTAGGGTGAACGGAAGGGACAGTGATGTGTGTGGTCTTTTGGTTTTTGTTCCTTTACTGATTCTCCCAGGCTGACTTCTAATGTTAAGCAGACAGATAGGAAGATGCTGTGATGTTTGGGCTGTGGGGCGTTTGAATGTCAGCCGCCAAGGAATAATTGTAACTATTCAAAGAACAACCTGCTCTCACAATAGGATGTCTCTAGAATTATTTAGCATCCTCAGTAAGTCTGTCAAACTTATCCCCATGAACTTATTTGTAGATATGATTATAAAACTGGTGTGTGTGTGTAAGATGCATTTCCTGGCAGCTGCAGAATATCTAATGTAGCATTCTGCAGCTGTTGGAGAAAGAGGTTATATCTCCCTTGGAATTGGGGGGAAGGAGGAGGAGGCTCTCCCTTATAACCTTTAGTCCAGTGGTTAGGGTACTCACGCAGGATGTGTGAGACCTCGGTCAAATTTCCCTCTCTACGTGATAGAGCAGGGATTGAATGTGAGTCTCCCACATCTATGGAGAGTGTCCTAACCTCCCTAGGCTATAGAGTTATTTTCCCCTGATCTGATGACTATTCATTGTCATTCATAGTTGCAATTTGTAATGATCATGAATAGTCTTTGGGTCAAGAGAAAGAGAGTGAGAGCTTGCAGGGGCGGGTTAGGGCACTCACCAATGTTGTGGGAGATACAAGTTCCATCCCTGCTCTACCTCAGGCTGAGAGGGAAATTCAACCTTGGTCTCCCACATCCTGGGTGTGTTCCCTAACCATGGGTTAAATCTTATAATGGAGCTCCTCCTCCTTCCCCACACCATTTTGTGATTCAAGTCTTCCTTTGCTTTTGGCAAATTCCTCAACATTGAAATTAAAAATTTTGATTTATTGACTCACTGAAAATTTCAGTGCAATTGCAAAGTATTTCATTTTTGGTTCGATCCAAAACAAAACTTACTTGGGAATTGGCCAGTGAACCAAAAAATCCATTATTCACCCAGCTCTAGAAGGCGATGATTTCTTAAAAGCAAAGATATCTTCCTAAAATGTTTCTTGTGATATATGTACAAGAGAAGAAGAAAACAAACAAAGAAAAGACCCCCTCCAAACCCAAGCAGAATTAATTCTAAATGGAATATTTCAACTTTCACATGGAAGCATTATCTGCTGTTTAAGACTTTGGTGATATGACATTTGATGTTTTGTCTAGAATTATTGTAATTAATAATTGTATTGCTTTGATGTTGATTAAAATGTTAGTACAGGAGCATAGCAGTAAAGATTTATAAATGAGTAAGAGTAAATATTTTAGCTTAATTGGAAATTACTAAATCTGAAATTAGGAGATTCATCTTGTCCAATAAATCTAAGAACCCTCCAACTAGAATGGAACAAGAACCGTTTAAATTAAAAATTGTTGAATACAGAAATACTTTATCACTAGTCACAGTATTACATAGAAATGTTAATATTAATAATCTTTTTTTAAGATAAATCAAAACTGATAATGTGAGAGAGGCCCTCCTGCCATTCACTGTAGAAGGGAAGAGCAGTGGTGCTGCCTCCCTTATAAGCTGTAGCCCTGTGGTTAGGGCACTTACCTGGGATTTGTGTGATCCAAGTTCAATTCTCCAAGCCTGAGCTGGAGAAGAGATTCCAATTTGGGTCTCCCACATTGTAAAGGAGCATCCTAGCCACTGGGCTATGGGATATCCTGGTGTAGGTATCTCTCAGTCTCTCTTGTGGAAGCTGTTCCACTGTGTATAAAAAAAAAATGGTGTAAGGACATAAACTTGAGTCTCCCACTACCTAGGTGAGTGCCTTAACAACCAGGTTATAGCATCATTCTCGATAGCTGTCTCTCGCCTAGTGTGGAACAGCTTCAACAGGAAAGACTGAGAGAGACCCACTCCCGATTACCCTAGAGTATTCCTCTATAATATAGGAAACAACTCCATGTTCCTGCTCCAATGACTATTTAATTAGTTATACACAATTTAATATTTGGTAGGAGAGGGGAATTTGCCCAGCTCTAGTTCTGAAAGGACATTGGCTATTCCTTTCCTGAGCTCAAAGTGCCCCTCAGTTTTCAGTCTGGATTTTGGGCACAGTTTCCTAGCACACCCTGTAGTGGAACCTCAGTGTCTTAACGGACTTCCAGGCATTTGGCAGGATTTAATAAATAGTTATAACAATTTTATGCCTGTTCTGCATTTGTGGCTTTTCCCCCATAATAAATTATTCCTTTTATTAAACTAAAGGTCTAGTGATGCAATAAAACTAGTATTATACTGATATTGAAATCTATCTGTAGCAGACATAAGAAACAATGTTTGTTTGTTTTTTAAATTAAGTATGTGGTGCTTTCCTGCAATTTGTGTTACAGAGGAGGTTGTAATGGCTTACCACACTGATTGAATTCTGGGTTATTTCAGTTGACACTTTTTTCTTATTTTCTTTAATACTATAGGAAGTTCCACCACCAGGCTCCTATGAGGTTCAAAAATCATTTGAGAAATCACACAGTAAAAGCCACTACATGCCTCCCCGAACCACACTGGCTAAAAGAAAGCATACGTCTTTCCTCAGTGCAACACCTAGAAAAAATGTACCCAATACTGACAAGGATGTACCAGGTAAGTTTATTACTTTCTTTCTTAATAAAACTGGAATAAAACAGCTAAAATATTATTCTACTTCTTGAGAACCATTCCAAAATGTTAGTGTTAAGTCATTTGAGTCAAGTGAACTTAGATTGGGATTTTCAACAGAGCTTAGGGAAGTTAGACACCCATGTCCCATGGGATGCAAATCTGAGCCTTAATGCCAATCCTCCAATTTAGCGACCAGTAAGTAAAGTAGGAAGCAAAGAATCAACACCTGTTAAAAATACATTAGTGAATTAAGATACTACTTCATCCCTGAGGGGATTAATCTGAGGCTATCTGGTGACTCATTTTGCTGGTCAAATGGAAATTGTTTAACTAATGAAATAACCAATATCACTGCATTTTAAGAACAAAATTGTTTGTGGTGTTGCTGTAGCTATGATGTTTCCAAGATATGAGAGACAAGGTAAGTGAGGGAATATCTTTTATTGGACAAACTTCTGTTGGTGGAAGGTACAAGCTTTTGAACTACACAGAGCTCTTCAGGTTTGGGGAAGGAAGCAGTGTGTTGCTTTTTAAGAAAATCAACCAAATTGATAAGTTGGCAAAACATATGCCTACTTTATATTTCATTCTGTGTGGTGACTTTGAACCTTGTTAATATAAAGATGTTTGTTTCCATTTAAAAGTATAGACCTTGTTTACTGCATATGGGTCAGGTTTGATTTGCTTGTCAAACTGTTGACTTACTCTTACAACTGATTGGGTATGAGAATGTTTAATAGTCCACATGCTACGCATTTGCTCATTAGAAAAATAGAAATATATTCTCAACTTACAGTGAATAACTTGCAGGGAAAAATTCTTTGTAATTTGAGTCTCGGAAATAATTTCAAAAGTGCTTGTAAATCCATCTCTGCCTTTTATATAATGAATCTTAGATCAGGGGACACTAATGAGGACAGACAGGGATGGATTTTAAGCAGCAGGCTGCATCTTTTTAAAATGTAAAATTGGAGAGGGTCACTATCTGCCTCTCTTCCCAAACTAGGCATTTAGGTGAATTCAGTGTGAGTTTTACTGGGCATCTCTCATATAGCTCATAACTCAGGGTAGCTCTCCACTGCCCTAACCCCAGGGTTCAGCTTGCTCGACTAAATCCTCTTGTCTTCCCCCTGCAAAGCGGTCAGAAGGTACCAAAGAGGGACCCCAGTCTGCAAGGACTTCAGGACTTTTTCCCATAGACGTAGGGTCTACCAGTGAAATCCCACGTCTCTTATGTTCTGGTTGCTGGCTTTTTGGCCTTATATCCACACTGAACCCCGGCTGCAAGTTGCAACAAACGAACATTCATACAAATTCCTAATATTAAATTCCTAAATAGTATTCCTAGTATATTTTCTTAATTGTGTCTCCATCATCGGTACAAGAGGCCTGAGAAACCCTGGACTGGGCTTTAAATAAATGATTTGGGAACAAGAGCTAATGGCCTCACATCTCTCTGGTTGGGCAGTAGGGTACATTTTCCCTTTATCCTAAAGCTGTCTGGCACCTTGCAGATACAATCAAGTTTCCCAGCCATTAAGTTGTTGGGTGGCAAATTGTCACACTATTGCTAGCTATTGTATTCTGGTCCCCAGGTTTCTGTATGACATGTGATACTTTCCCTCACAAGCTGTGAGAAAACGGCACTATAATTCAAAGAGTCTGTGTGTTTTTAAGGAAGTTTGAGGTAGCAAATACAATTTCAAAAAATGAAAGAAAAGTAGAATAAGTAGTAAGACATTCTTTAAAGGTGTCCTAGAAATGTATTGTCAGTAAACAGCCAGAAAGTCTGTGTTTGTTCTGGAATCTTAGAATAATAACCTTGGATAGAAACAGTTTATCGTAAATGTTTATTAAAAAACAAAATCAGACAAATACACGCTATCCACAAAACCTAGAGGCGAAATTCAGTCAGGTCCCAGTCTTCCAAGAATGTTATCCACAGTGCTGACATGAGGATCCACTTTATTCTGTAGCCTACATTAACTATTATTTTGAAACCTCTTTCCAGATTTTTTCAAGTTGTTCTGACAAATTTTGAAATGAATGTATCTCAATAAAAATTCCAATATTAAATCATAAGTTTATAATGGGATTGATAATGAGTTTATAGAGCCTTTCACCTCCAGGTTGCTTCTGCAAATCAAGCCCAAGTTGGTAATAACTTGAAAGTTGTATTCATCTGCTGCTTGCTTGATCATCTGTGTGAAAATCTGACTGAAAATCTTGATCATCTAACTGTCCGAGACCAGACATTTCCCAGTGAGCAGGAATCCACATCACAAAACTATCACTAGAATTGTCAATAAACAGCACCTTTGTCTCAACAGAGAGATCAGAGAATTAATGAACCTGTTTGAAGCACTATGATGGAGCAATATGAGAGAGCTTGCACTGACATTGTCCATGATATATTTCTTTTATGGCTATATAGAGGATTTTCAGTCTAAGTTTCAATCTGCTAACCTTTTTTTTAATGGAAAGGGTCAAAATAAACAGTGGAAAAAGTTGGTACTTTTTCCCCTAATACCATAATTTGGTTTGTGGATTAACAGTAATGATTTGTAGTTCTGCTTTTTCCCTTAACAGGTAGTGCTAGTAATTGCTGCATTTGGCTTAGCAAAAATAATTTGCTGTGTAGTTTTAGATATTCAGCCGTAGCAGTTACTGGCAGTTTCTATGTATATTATAACACAGTGAAAATAAGTTCCAACAGCTTTAAAATTACATGTAGTATGCGTCAATAATCAGGGTAATATGTAAAGTAGCTAGCCCCTTTTCCTTTTTTGGCAGGGGGTGGGGGGAAGGCAGTAGATGAGGAAGTGAGGGTTAAAGCAACAGGAGAAAATATAGGAGCTTACAGGCAAACTCTTAAGCCTCTAGGAGAATTCAGTCAGAGGTGGGTTTGATGTCACCAGCAGAATGAATGGTGCGCCCTCATGGCAACCAGGAGCAACGGGGCTATGACAAATGTGGATGTCAGCATACCTGCAAAAGGGGGGAAGTAGTTCTGAATTACAAATGTACTTCATTCCCTTCTTATATTGTTTACTTGGAGCATTCAGTACATAATTCTAAAGCTTGTTTGACTAGTTGGTATGTTTTTAGGTCACCTTCTGCATACAACAGATGCAAACGGGCTGACCAAGGTATCATTGGGGCCTTTTAGTGACATGAGTACAAAGTTAGTGATAAATGAGGTTGATGACTGCTTTGTCTTTGTATTGAAAAGAAGGTGAAGGTCATATCCTGAAAAAGGAAGTATATTTTCAGAATGTAAAGAAACTGGAAAAGGTGAAAAAATGCTCGAACATGGAGGCAGGCAATTACTACTTTTTCAAGCTGATAAAGGAAATAAAAAGGCTATAGAAAGATTTTTTACAAAAATGCATTACTAACGATGCAAAAATTGTAAGAAAATGTATGTAACTTGTGTGTTTCCTGAGTTGATCATGAAACTTTACTTACAATACTTGTAAGCAACAACATTGCTAGGGAGGATATGAAAGTCCAGTGGTCTTTGTACCTGCATTGATAATGGGGAGAAATGTTAACTAATACAACTGACAAATGAGTCTTCATATTTCGTTGGGTTGTTTAGAATCCAGGGATTGTGCTGATCAGGAACTTTGGAAGATATTAGGCGTTCCCAAATGTTAGTTTCATGGTATGCTTCTGGATTTCTGCACTAGGAGAGACCTTGACTGATTGTGGGTACTCTGTAATGAAACTGCTGAATATACTGAAACTCCTTTTGGGTTTTCTGTTCCCTCCCATAGGCCATGTCTGTTCTCGGGGAAAAAATGTTTTAATCAATGTGAAGCTACAGTCAGAGAAGCAATTAAAATACTAGGATGCCTGTCATCATCCCACTCACACACAAGAAAAGAGGGATGCCATTAAAAATTGATACTACTCCATCCTTCCCCAGAGAACCAGCTGGCATTGCATCTCTCCTTTCTTCTGCATCTCTGAAGTACAGCATTACCAGTATGATTTTACACCTTTCCCCACTCTCAGACCCAGACACACCTCTGGTATTTGCTTCCGTCTGATCCCAGACACATCATCCTATCTTCCTCTCCTAGCTAAGAAATGCTTTCTAGTACCTGTCACTCAGAGTCCAGAAACCTCAAAAACTTCTTTCTGTAGCATGTCTCAGTATCATAGTACCCCAAGCTGCACACATGCACTGATTCACACAGAGCCTGTACGTTTGGCCAAGAATCCAACAGACATAGATCCCATTGGAGAGAGTGACCTTTGGAGTTTGCAAGAGAATAGATCAGGTGACTAAGAAGGAAATAGATAACATGAAATGGATATGTGTAAACAGGCTTTCAGAAAGTTCTGGATTTCTCTAATATTATTTATACCTTAAAGGACTTGTCCCACATGTTTCTATAAATACTGCAGGTTGAACCCAGACCAGGTAATTAATTGGACAGGTTAGTACTTGCCTACTTTGTTTCTATGATTGATTTAGAGAAAGGTTATGAGCAAATATCTTTGACTGATGGTGTCAGCCTTCAATATCCCTCTAGGTTGTTTGAGATCCCTAAACTATTCTTTTGCACACTCGATGTGGCTACAACTTTCCAGGGAACGGTAAGCAAAGTGCTGAAGGGACTGAATGAATTCACTTTGGCTTTAATTGCTGTTAAACCTGAGAAAACCAAACCTGAGATTACCACTGGGGCTGCCCAACTCTCAGAGCTTGAAAAGCCAAACTGGGGCAACCATGTAGATTGCTTCCTTTATGAATCATAAGTGAAGACCTGACTGTGAAAGCTGAAAAATGCAAATTAGGAACACCTTGGGCTGCAAACTTAGGGCACACAAGGGAGACTGGAATAATTAGACCAAGGTGGACACAATTTGTAATTGGTCCACTCTACCAAATATCAGTTGGCCTTTCTGATTCTAAAAAAGGGAGTTTGGCTGTTCAACAGCATTTGTAAATGCAGATTAATAAACACCAG